TCCCCCCACTCACCACTGTGCCCCTACTCACCACTGTCCTTCCCCACTCACCACTGTCCCTCCCCACTCCCCACTGTCCCCCCCCACTTACCACCATCCCCCCACTCACCACTGTGCCCCTACTCACCACTGTCCCTCCCCACTCACCACTGTCTCTCCCCACTCACCACTGTCCCCCACTTACCACCATCCTCCCACTCACCACTGTGCCCCACTCACCACTGTGCCCCACTCACCACCATCCGCCCACTCACCACTGTGCCCCTACTCACCACTGTGCCCCACTCACCACTGTCCCTCCATTCACCACTGTCCCCCCACTTACCACCGTCCACCCACTCACCACTGTGCCCCACTCACCACTGTCCCCCCCCACTTACCACCATCCCCCCACTTACCACCATCCCCCCACTCACCACTGTGCCCCACTCACCGGGAGGTTTGACTTCCTTCGAGGCTTTCCCGAAGGCTTCACTGTGAGCCCCGCGGCCCTCAGGGCTGCAATCCTGGATTCGATGTCTGAAACCTGCGAGACAACAGCAGACAGACAGACGGCCCCTCAGACAGACGCTCGAGGTCCCGCCTCAAAGTCATGGACAGGAAGAGCAGCTGCCCCCAGCTCACTCCTGGAGCCAATTTTACTTGTGTTTTCCCTTAAGATTGGCGTCCCAGCCACATGCCCGTCTTGGTGGTCCCCTTGGCGTTTGTCTTCCATGGTTGGTGAGAAGGGGGTGTTCCTTGTGAGTCACCCAGGCAGGAGGAAGGCAGGATGGGGGGCATTTTCTGGAGTCTCAGGGAGTCTGGCTCCCATGAGGGACTGGAGGAGGGGCCGTGACTGGCAAGGACAGTAGTGGCTACTCTTCACCTAGCAGTCGGCCACCCCCACTGGCATCATCCTTGCCCAGCCCCCCTTCCACTCCTCCCTCCCTAGGCCCCTCCTCCCACAGCAGCCAGGGGCAGCTTCTGGAAATTAGAACCAGGCCCCATCACCCCCTATTCAGATCCTTCCAGTGGCCACCAGGGGCCTTTGCCGTCCACCCTCCTCACACTCTCCCTTCATCACTCTGACCCGGTCTCAGGGTTTCACGGCTAATCCCTGCACGCACCAAGGTCACCAACACCCCAGGGCTTTGGCACACGCTGCTGCCTCCACCCGGACTCCTGTCCCCTGGATTTGCCAGGTTGGCTTATTTTCCTAGTATCCCTCCTGACCACCTTATCTAAATCGCCCCGCCCCGAGCACTCTAGGGGCTCATCTTCACTGACTGTCTTAATCACACCTTTCATGAACCCAAGGGATCTTGTTTGTTTGTTTGCTGTTTATCTCCTTCCACTAAAAACACAAGCTCCAGGAAGGCAGGGGCTTGGTCTAAGACATTCGCAGCTGGATCTTCCGTGACCTACACAATGTGGGCTACATTTATTTGCAGAGCAAGAAGGAAAACATGAAGGGAAAGTCCAGAGCCTGACTTGCTCCCCTTGAACAGCTCTAGGGGACATGCTCTTTGTCCTCAGGGAGTGACAGACACCTGCTGATGAGAAGGGAAGTGGAGGCGGGTCGTGGGGGCTGGCTGTCCCCACAGTCTGAGGGGCAGAACTTCTCCTCTCTGTAGGTCTCCAGGGAGGACAGAGCAGTGCCCAAGTCTCCTCGGCTGTCCCTGGGAGGCCTGAATGCTTTGGCTCTGCCCTTTGACTTTTGTGCACTATTGATAGGTTCCAGACCCAGATTCAAGCTCTGCAGCCACAACTCAGACTCACAGATGGCCCTTGGGATAGAGTCCAGTGCTGAGATCTGGAGCTGTCCTAAATTCCAGGCCTGCTTCTAGGCCCCCGTCCTGGGTCAGGGATTGTGTGTTCATCACCTTTTTCTTGGTGGAAACCCTGCCTGTACCTCACCAAGTTGAACAGGAAAAAGGGAAGGGGTGGAGGGCTCAGTGAATGGGTGCTGAGCCAGGTGAGTCCCACAGAAACCCCCAGGTTCATGCTTGGCCTTCAGAGCTGTGCATGCTGGGCCAATGCGGAGGGCTCGGTGTGAGCTGTCAGATGGTTAGAGCTGCCAGATGTTCAATGCTCGGGTGTGGTCACCATCTGTGTTTGCGGAACCCAGTGCTCCCCTGTGCCTTCCAGACTACCTCGCTCTCTGCCTGCTGGACTTCTGAGGCCGTCACTGCCACTCTGTCCTCCAGCTCCGACAGCTCCTCATCTGTGGTCCTGCTGTGCTGGACGGGGTCCCCAGGGCCCTGGGAGCTCTTTTCCTGTCTGTTGGTTTGATGGGCAGCCATGCTCACCTATGAAAGAGAAGGACGGAGGCTGACCGGCAGCAGGAGGGAGTGCGGGGTCTCACCCAGATGGGGACTTGCCATGACGTTGCTCTCCTCTCTGAATCCTGGGAGCTGGTTTCACAGCTGCAGAACCCATCAAGGGCCCTTGGTGTGCCCCTGTGGGTGGCTACCTCCCTGGGGAGGGCAGTGGCCAGCTGGGACTGTCCATCCCTGCCCCTACCTCTGCAGGGTCCTGCTGAGACCCCTGGGGGGTAGTCTCACCTCTGGGTCCGCCTGGGGGACAGCCCCAACTGATTTGCCCCTGTCAGGCTCTGCCTTTTCATCCTTGGCCTCCTCCTCCTCGGACGAGGTCCCCTGGTCACTGACGTTGCTGGTCAGCTCCTCCAGCTTCTTCCTCAGGGTCTCCTCCTCTACATCAGCCTCCGTGCGCACTCCAGCACCTAGACCCTGACAGAACAGGCCAGTGGGCTTGGATTCGGCTAGTCATCTGGAGGCGTGGAGCTCCAGGGCTGGCTCTGGGAGATGGGCCTGGGGCCAGCACACCTAGGGTTTCTGCTGAGCTCAGCTGCCTCCCTTCTCCATGCCGGCTTGTCCAACGTGCCCCACTGGGGCCCAGTCCCAGACCCCAGAAGCAGGCTCTGCAGGGCTGGGGGCTCCCAGGGAAAGCTGGCCACCACTCCTGGCTATCTAAGACCCACTGTTTTTTTCCCTTCTCATCCCTTCCATTTAAGGGTGCCTCTTGTTTATTCCAGGCTGATGTCCTCACTCTAGGGATGGGGAGAGAGGGGTGTGGACTCACAGATCTCTGCCCACTCTCTCTCAGGGAAATACACAGACAGCCTTGGTCAGGTCCATCTCCAGGGGCTGGACTCTTCCCACGCTCTGACCAAGGATTCATTTAGCAACTGCTGTGGGACACTCCTCTGTGGCACACGGCTCCTGATCACATAAAACCGGCCACTGGACTGCGAGTTCCCTTGTGGCTTCCCGTCAGGCCGTGTGCCCTTTGGCAGGTCACTCAACCCCTCTGCATCACAGTTCCCTCAGCTTTAAAATGGTAGTGATAGCAGTATCTAACCTGCAAGTTCTCATACCAACTCAGTTCAATAATCTATATAAAGTCCTTAAAGGGTCTAGTTCCACTGGCCACCTTG